GGTACACACCCCTTAACCAGGTACACGGTCCCTTAACCCAGGTACACGGCCCTTTAACCCAGGTTCACAGCCCCTTTTGAGTGCCAGCCCGCTGGTCACACCTGGGACGGTGGGCCTGGTTGTGCCTGGTCTGAGGGGCACTCGGGACACGGTTCGTGGAGTTGATTTGTTTAGCGGCTGCCTGTGAACAATCCAGTTAAACTCTGCGAGTAAACACCCTCCCTGCAGCCACGCTGGGGAAAAGGAGGGAGGGCTGTGTGGACAGAACCGGGGCTTTATGGCCTGCAGGTGCCGGGCCTTCTGTGACGGGAGGGGCACAGACTGTGACGCTGAGCTCTGAGCCTCAACAGGCCTTCACTTTACGGCTTAATTTTATAGGATCGTGAAATAAAGCTAATACCCTTTACACAGCTGACATCAGCGGCAGGGCCCTTGTAAACAGCCGTTTGCTTCTCCCTCCTTCCTTCTGGGAAGAGAACGGCGGGCGATCCTGAGCGGGCGGGCGGCCCTGGGCAGCCTGACGGGAGCGGCCGGTCCGGAGGCACCTGCTCCCTACGGGACACGCACGCACGGGACCGCGGGCAGGACCGCCGCCTGCGTGGGTTTATGCGAACACGAGGCCAGGTGAGCTGTGGGGTGAGCTGCCAGCAGAGCTCGGCGGGGGCGGGGACTGGTGAGGTGCAGTTGGCATGTGACGTGTTAACGAGGGGCTTATTGGGCCGCCGTTCGTGGGGACAGACACGAGGAACGCGCATGGGAGTCCCGTGACTGCCCCGCCTGCCTGTGCGCGGCTGTGGGCTCTGGCCATGTCACCTGCCTGTGTTTGCGGCCTCAGCTGCAGCCTTCCGTCCCCCCACCCCCCTCCGCCATCTGCAGTTTCACTCTGGTTCAGTGACGCCTGACCAACCACAGCCCAAGCACATTGACGGGAAATTCTAGAAATGGGCAATTCATGGTCTAACTTGTGTGCGGGTCTGGGCAGCATGACCCAATCCCACTCCGCCCTGCCAGGGGGTGAAGTGTCCTTCCCCCCGTCTCCACGCTGTGGCCACCCCTGCGTCTCCCAGCAGCCGCCTTGGTCATCAGACTGCCGTGGTGGGTCGGCAGGGCCTGTGCTGGGGGGACCCTGGCTTTCCTCTATGACGGCCCCAAAGTGCAAGGGCCGCGCGGCCGGCAATGCGGACGCAGCACAGAGAAGCCGAATGCGTCCTTTCAGGGGAAAGGCGTGTGCGTGGGAGACGCATCGTAGACGCACACGGGGGTGGTCCCAGCCCAAGTCCAGGCATCCTAGGGGGCCTTGGAGCACACCCCACGGATCCTGTACCATTTCCATAAAATGAGAACCATGATAACAATACCAGGCTTGCCTAGCAAGGACACACACACACACACAAGCATGCACGTGAGCACATGTGCACACATGCACATACCACACACACCCACGCACACACACATGCACACACAAGCGCACACCTACACATGAACATGCACACATGCGCACATGCACATGCACGCACACACAAGCATGCACACACATGCACATACCACACACCACACACAAGCACATGCACGCGTGCACACATGCACTCACAAGCACACACACATGAACATGCACACACATGCACATGCACACACGCACATGCACACATGCACACACATGCACACGTACGCATAGGTTTCAAAGCCACTAGGCTTCCCGGATAGAAAGCACACACTGGGCCTCTGGAGCCAGGAGTCACTGGAGCTGTGTCCTCACTAGAATCGGGTGATGGAAAAGGCAGTTCCATTCCAGGCTCAGTGTTACCCGGAGATGGACACGCACTCGTCCAACAGGCAGACTCTGTCCCCACACCCCCCGACTGCCCGGGAGGGTCTGGAATTGGGGGAACACTCAGATCTGCAGACACCCCCCCCCCCCAGCTCACAACTCATTGACACAGCCATGTCCTAAATGACACGCGTTGCTACCGCTGTGCGCTCCTTCCCCCTCCTACCCCCTCCCTGCCTCCCTCCCTCCTTCCCTCCCTCCCCCCCTCCCTCATTTGCCATCTCCTGAATTTATTGGAAGAGCTGGGAGCATGGGTAAAGGGAGGAGGGCGCTCTTCATGCTGCAAAGTGTGGTAGGAAAATAGGAGAGAATATGGTGGCTGCTGTGAATTCCATCATTCTCTCTTCAAATGAACCCGGGGCTTCCGGATGCTCAGTCATGCAAGAAAGGGGTGGCTATCCGACGTGGAGGCTGAGGAAAGGGAGGGAAAGCTGTGGTGGCAGGTGTGGAGACTGCACCTCTCTGTCTGTCTGTCTGTCTGGCCCACCTCCTCTCTCTCCACGTAGCCCCATTCTCAGAGGAGTCATGGTCTCCTGTGGGGGCAGTGGGTGAGATGGGAAATGGAGTGAGGTCATTGCTTTCCCAGGGTGTGTCACAGAGGCTGTAAAAGGCAGGGTGGTGATTTACGGGGTGAGAGTCGGGATCAAGGCCCAAGAGGGGGTGCTGGCTGAAGCTGAGGCGTCAGTGGGAGTGTCTGTCAGATGGGGGATCAGTCAGGAGGCCTCGTGCCTTTGTGATCACGGCTGGGAGGGCTGGGACCCCAAATCAGACCTGCCAGGAACTCTGGGCTCTTGCTCTCAGGAGTGTGGAGGGCAGCGCCCCCTGCGGGGTGAGCAGGGGAGGGGTCGGGAGCCTGTGCGCGGAGCTGAGGGCAGAACACAGGGTCTGGCTCCCACCCGCAGCCCCCGTGACTTCAGGTGAGTGGCCGCCTCGCTCCGGCCTCGGCTTCTCGCTCCAAACTCTGGTCTGAAGAGTCTGCGCCGTGTCCCGCAGCTGCGCGGACCGAGCCTGTGTGGGAAGCACTGTTTGGGGTTGGAAGTTAGGAAAAATGCTACAGCGTGAGGGGGAATGATGACGTCCCAGATGGCGGGAATTCTAGAGGACATTTCACACCCACGGTGAGAGTTCACTGCCCAGTGGGTCTTTGACTAAAATCTCTCTATTATATGATGAGACTTAATCAAGTGTCAAGACAGACATCGTCCTCAAAGTAAAATCTGCTTCTACCGTGGCCCGGCCTCCGCCGCTCCTGGAATTTCAGGAATATCAGCCGATTTCTTACAGGACACGGACCTGAGGTTCCCAAATAAGATGCTTTATACGCACGACGCAAAGCCGTCCTCTAACTGCTGAACTGGAAATACGCATCCAGGGGTGTCATGTGGACGCTGTGTTCTTAGGAACAGATCAGTGTACAGGCGGGCCCCGTCAGGGCTTGAAGAGGCCACACAGGGAGCACATACATGTGCTGGGAGTGACCTCTACGCTGCGAGGTTGTCACGTTAAGGCCACCACAACCAGCGTCTCAGTGCAAAGTGTGGAGATCTGAACATGGTTGTCAGGTGAGAAGGTGAAACCACCGTGCGAAACAATGAGAGGACGGGAGTCATGTGTCCTGAGCAGTTTCTACACCAGCAGCACGGAAGAGGCATGAGGCACACCAGAGGCAGTCATGTAAAATGCTGAGACTGGTGCCCAGAGAACTCAAGCTTGTGTCCATGTATCTTATCCTATATAATAAAAGGGTAATATGCAAATTGACCATCATTCCAACACACAAGATGGCCCGCAGGGGAAGGCAGTTGTGGGTGATTGGACCGGCAGAGAAGCAGTGAGGCATCGATCAGGCTGGCAGGCAGAAGCGGTTAGGGGCAATCAGGCAGGCAGGCGAGCGGTTGGGAGCCAGCAGTCCTGGATTGTGAGAGGGATGTCCGACTGTCCCTTTAGGCCCGATCTTGGTGGGCCTAAAGGGGCAGCCAGACATCCCACAAGGAGTCCCAGATTGGAGAGGGTGCAGGCTGGACTGAGGGACACCCCCCCCCCCCCGCATGATTTCATGCACTGGGCCTCTAGTAAATTATAAGCAGCAACCAGTGTTTGAACTTCATCATCTTTTTTTGGGGGGGGAGGGGGAGACGGGATACTGATTGAATCCAAACTGTGTGCCTGGCACTGCACTCAGAGTAGCTGACTCAGGGACAAGCAGAGGAGAGACTGTGTCTTGCTGTTACCAATCAGTACTCAGATCTGAACAGACGCATGAGATATAACACAACCAAGATAAAAGATGTTCTTGGTGATTGGATTAGAATTCCAGGGGCCATGTGGGAGTTTGCAACTGAGTCAGTATATGGTCATGTGATGACTCAATCGTGAACTTCCATCATGTGTCTCTGTCTCTATTTCTGTATCTGTCTCTATCATCTCTATCTCTATCTCTATCTCTATCTCTATCTCTATCTCTATCTCTATCTCTATCTCTATCTCTAATTTATCTATCAATCATCTATCTCATCTATGTATCCATCATCTATTTACCTATCTATATACCTATCTATCCATCAATCTATCATATCTATCTATCTATCTATCTATCTATCTATCTATCTATCTATCATCTATCTATCTATTTATCTATCATCTATCTATCTATCGCTAATTTACAGGCATCTTCTTGCTGATTGCTATGGTTCAGCTGGGGCTGTAAAAATAAAACTAGAAAGTATTTAGAGAAAATAAAGAAGTGAGTTAAACGGCTTACACATTTCCGGGGAGCGGTGGGGATTTGAAGACCCGAACAAACAGGTTCTCTCCCTGCCCCTTGGGCCTCTTGGACCTTCGGTGGAAAGGCTGCTCCATCGAAGCAGCTCGCCAGGGCTGTGCCTTCCAAGGGCTCCATCCGGTCTGTCCGGGGCCTCATGGAGACAAAGCAAATGGGAATGATGCTCTTTCACAAAACCCGTCTCCGAAGTAATGAGCTCATCCCAAGCAAAGCGGCTGGACTGTCAGCGTGCCTGGCGCGTAGCGTGCAGTTGTTGGAATGCTGTTGGCTAAGTCAGGGAGGAATGGCATGTGTGCCGGCTCCTGACGGGACATAAAGGCCAGGGAAGTGGGAAGCTCACACCCCAGAACCACCTCCCCAAGCACAGCCGAGCTCTCTCCTCCTGACAACATGTGTGGCCGTTACTATGGCAACTCCTGTGGCTACGGCTGTGGCTATGGATCTGGCTATGGCTGTGGCTATGGATCTGGCTACGGCTGTGGCTATGGATCTGGCTACGGCTGTGGCTATGGATCTGGCTACGGCTGTGGCTATGGATCTGGCTACGGCTCTGGCTACGGCTGTGGCTATGGATCTGGCTATGGCTATGGCTGTGGAAGCGGCTCTGGCTGCTGTGGGTACCACCCGTTTGTCTACAGAAGATGCTATTCTTGCTGCTAGGATGCACCTGCCCCTCACCTTTTCCCCGGAAGCGATCTCTCTGGGCATCTCTGCTTGTGTCTCACCACCCACTGAGCAGAGGGTGGTCCAAGGCTGAAGGAGACGGGGTCGCCCTGAAGGTCTGGGTGCTCTCAGGGGCCCCAGTCCCTCCGTGACGCTCCCGCAGGTGGAGGGCCTGGTGTTGCTCGGAGACCACATGCAGGCCCACCCACCCGCCTGGTGCTTCCATGTTGTGGCACTTTCCGAATAAACACGTGTCGTTGGTCCTAACACAGCTGTGATCCTCTGTGTCGGGCAAACTCACTTCTTTATCTTCTGTCTCCGCAACCTCCTCAGGGAGGGCCCGCCCAGGGCCCGCTGTTACCCCAGCTGCGTGTCTTCCATCCCTGTGGTCGGTGTCTGGCACACATGGAGTCTGACGCGTCTGGGTTTCATCTCGGAAAAGGTGGCTGCTTCTTGGCTGCATATTGTGTTGTTACTTCATTTTCCTCAGGGTTTGTTCTTGAGCATGTGTGTCCCATGACCCTGGGTCTGTCCATGTCTCTCCACATTACTCAGTAACCCAGTAATGCATGTGTGTGCACACGCACATGCACACACACACGTACACACACGTACACACGTGCGTACACACACACACACACACACACTCACATACGTGTGTGCTTCAGGAAACCTGCTTTGAGAAAACGCTAAAGGTGAGGAGTGGGCAGGAGGGGAGACGGGAGGCTGCTCTGGGCTCTCTGAGTCCATGTGTTCTCCTCAGTTCTCCCCAACACTCAGGGCTGGTTCCTGCTCGAACCCTGCCCCCTGTACCGACGGCTGGAAACTTAGTCCAAGTTCCTGCTTCATCCCCTGCTCACCAGCTCCAGGCGCCAGGCGTCAGAGACAGCGGTCCCTTCTTGGCGGCGGGGCAGACGGAGAAGCCGGAGAGGCTGCGAGTGAAGGAGGATGAGTCTTGATGGCAGAAGCCGGTGGCCACATGGCCGTCAAGACGAAACGGTTCTTTACAGCAAAGTCCATGCAGGCAGCAGACGCGCTGGTGAACATGCACCTCTCCCCACCCAGCAGCTCCATCGCTGTGCCCACAGCTGTGAACTGAGCAGCTGCATGCTGCCCCAGACTCGCTGCCTCACATTGTGGCGGCACCTGAGCTCCGGCTCAGCAGCTCCTCCGGCACCCTGCCCCTCCCTGCCCCTCCCTGGCTGGGGAACATGGCAGCTGTCCCTGAGCTCTCCGTGAGCTCAGCCTTACGACAGAGCAGTCCCAGCTCTCAGCTCCGCCTGAGCTCCCCTCCTGCACACACAGGAGCTACATTCTCTGCGCCTCTCCCCTCTCTTTTCTGAGCTCTCTCTCCTCTGCCCGGCTGCTCTCTCTCTGGCAGAATTCCTCACACACACACTCCTCCGGTCAGGAGCCTGGACATGACTCCTTAGACAGGAAGGCCAGCTGCCCACAGCGACGGCCATCCTATCGGCAGAGAAGGGCACAGTCTGCCGTGCCCTCGCTCCCGTTGGTGGCCTCGTGGCCTCGGGCACCCGATGAGGCTCCTGCCCCGAGCAGCCTTGGCCATTCCGGTGTCCTGACAGCAAGGCTCTGTGCTCCCCTTGGCCCGGACTATCCGGGGACCCTGGCATGCTTCCCACAGAGGCTCATGAGTTTGTGTGAGAGTGACCGGGAGACCGGCCAGGGGAGCCAGGGTCTGGGTGTGGGCAGGTCATGGGAGGGGACAGGTGAGCATCGGGGACTCGGCGAAGGGGGACCTGTCCGACCTTATCGCAGGGAGGAAACCTAGAGAAGATGATCTCTGAAAGGTCTGTATTCTCAGCACGTTGGGTGCGGGCATCAGGGCGTCTGCCCAGCTACAGACCGAAAGGCAGCCAGCTTTGCAGTGTGTCTGTCTGTCTGCACTCTGAGTGGGCGGGGAGGACGATGGGACACACAACCTTCACGCAGAGCTCTCTCTCGTCCCCGACCCCCTGCGATGAGGACGATGCCCTCGTCAGGGGCGTCCTCACTGGGTGTGTCTGGGCCCAGGCAGGGTCCCCACCACGAGGGTGTTTGAGGGGAGAGGGTGGAGTGAACGGTGTTCTGCATCCGCTCTGCCCCCACCCTGCGCCCGGTGCCCCAGGTGAGAAATGGAGCGGAGCTTGTCGCCCGGTGGCAGATGGCGAGGCTGGTCCCAGGGAAACACAGAACCGGGAGCTCTCACATCCGGGAGGGAGGCCCGTCTCTCCGGCTGTTCTGACGTTAGAAATCCCATCTCCGTGGGGGACCTGCAAAGACTTCAAGCGCTGAAGCCACAGCTTAATGGCCCTCGTTCCCAGGATCCCTGGGATCGGAGAGACTCTGCTGTCTTGGGAGGAGAAAGGGCAGAGGAGGAGTTGACAGCTCTCCCTGGAGAAATAGAACCACTTCCTGTGAGTGAGAGGAGCACGTCGTCCCGTTCAGCACACGTGGCCCGAGCTTCTGACACGGGTGGTTTACTTCAGGGTTGTAATAAATCATGATATTAAGTAATGTGACTATGCTGTGGCTGCTGCACCTTACGAGCCATGAACGGAGGGCTGACCTATGTCACCCCTGCTCCTGGAGCAGGGGAAAGGCAGGGAGCCCTCAGCCATGCAGACCAGGACGTGAGGGGACAGTCACACACAGGGGTGCTTGGGAAATGCAGGGGCGGAAACGACTAGGAGGCGGGACTAAGAGTAAGTGGAGAGGAAGGTCAGGAATGGTTCTGGGAAAGGACAACATTCCAGGTGAAATATGCACGATGGGCAGGAGCTGGTCAACCACAGAAGAGAAATGGCCTCTGAGCAGGGAGGAGGAGGGAGCACGTGGAGGGGCCCAGGTGCTGAGCCTGGTGGCAGCAGCTCATCGCCTGTCCTGGAAGGTGCCATCGCTCGTGGTGCCGAAGGAGTGAATGCTCAGGGGCAGGCATGAGAGTCCAAGATGATCCCCGAGGGCACACAGCCCCTCCCTGGAGTCCCTCCCCGTTATGGTGGGAGCGACCTGTAACTTGCTTCTAACCTTGGCAAAGGTGATGATAGGATGTTACTTCTGTGATTATGAATGTTTAGGGCTGACAGGCAAAACACAAGATGGATACATTTGAATTTCAGATACAAAAATACAAATCTACTTATATAAAAACCATGGGTGGTGTTCATCATGACCTGAACCGCAGCAACCAAGCGGAAGGAAGTCAGTCCTGCAGGGGTTGTCTTGGGGCTGTGCCCTCCCCTGAGCTGTTTCCTGGAGCTGTTTCTGGTGAGGGCGGGGTTTGAGGCAGGAACCTGCCCTCGGAGCATGGACCCACTGAATCCTGGGTCGTTTTGCCAAGGGCTTCGCCCTCCCCAGCTGTTTCCCATGTGGCCTGAGGGAAGAACCCACCCTCAGAGCGCCAGGAGCGCCCAGCAGCAGTCAGTCCTGGGTTGCTGAGGTGGAGGCCACGGCGTGGTAGAACTCTGGGTCTGGCCCCACAGGGGGCATGGCCAACCTTCAAACCAGACCCTGACAGTAGAAAGGAGGGAACCCCATTCCTCACAGAGTCCGCTGTTGGATAGCTTGCTGTCAGTGGCCTGCCAGCCAGGAACCCCATTCTCCTGCACCCCGGACCCTGACAGGAGGGAGGAGGGAGCCCTTTTCCTCATGGAATCAGTTCCTTTTGTTACTGTTTATTTATTAATAAATTTATATATTATTTTCATATATATTTTACTAATTTCCTTTCATCTCTCACACTTCTATTATAGAAAAAGGGCAAATAGCAATATTAAAATATCTCTGCTAATTAATTCCCTTTTTAAAAAATATATTTTATTGATTTTTTACAGAGAGGAAGGGAGAGGGATAGAGAGTTAGAAACATTGATGAGAGAGAAACATCCATTAGCTGCCTCCTGCACACTCCCCACTGGGGATGTGCCCGCAACCAAAGTACATGCCCTTGACCAGAATCAAACCTGGGACCCTTGAGTCCACAGGCCAACGCTCTATCCACTGAGCCAAACCAGTTAGGGCAATTAATTCCCTTTTAATGTGCACAAATTTTGTGTACCGGGCTACTAGTATATCTATATTTAATATATTTTTATTCCAGAGAGGAAGGGAGAAGGAGAGAGAGAGAGAAACATCAATGAGGAGAGATAATCATGGATCGGCTGCCTCCTGCATGCCCCACACTGGGGATCGAACCTGCAACCGGGCATGTACCCTTGACTGGAATCCAACCTGGGACCCTTCAGTCCGCAGGCTGACGCTCTCTAAAATATATTGCCAATGGGCAACTCCAGTTAAATGATACACCAACCAGATTCCCCTTTGTCCTGGCTGACCCCATGGGTGTGACCTTGTGAGAATTGGAGCCGAGATGCCAGTCAGGCTGAGCTCAGACCCCAGACCCACGAGGCCTGTGAGATCACAGGTGGGCGCTGCCCCTGTGCGGTCACTAGGACAGGCCCCTCGCGGTCCTCTCCATGTCCTGGGGGGTCCAGGAGGCGTGGGTGACCTGGGGGTGAGGTCTGCACATCAACAGGGGTCAGGAGGCCAGTCACGGGGATGATGTCAGAGACAAACCCCTGGAGGGACAGGGAGACTGGGGGTGAGGGGGGGTGACCCTCAGCCATGCCTGAGGGTTCTGGCTCCTGCACAAGGTACTGAAGGAAAGTTCATGCAGGACCCAGAGTGTCCCCGGGAAGAATGAGAGACTCGGAGGTGACTGGGGACTCTATGACAAAGTGATTTACCCACGGACAGGTCACCGTTAGCGACAACGAGCTCCTGGCCCAGCGAGTGCTCAGGCCTCCAGGGGTCAGAAAGGGAGACTTCATGTTGCAGAACAAAAAGGAACAGAGACTGGACCTTGGTGCCGTGTTAGCTGTGGAACTCAGTGAGTTTTCTCACCTTTTGATGCCTCAGTTTCCATATTATAAGAAGAGACCTACTACTTTTACAATTTCTTTGTGACCCAATAGGTTAAAATCTCTGAAATTAGTGATTTAACAAACATTCAACAGTTACAATAGAGGATATGTGTGTGTGTGTGTGTTATTTTGGTTTGAAGTAAATGACCACCTTGAATTGATAAAAATGTACTGAGGAGTGGCCCTCAGGGTAAAAATACATCCTCAGACGAGACTGTGCCACGGATTGGATGCACAGGAGCTCTGTGCTGTGCGAGGGGGAGCAGTGTCTGGAGGGCAGCGGTGGGCCCTGCGAGATGACCTGTGATGCAGTCAGCGTGTCCTAAGCTGGTCAAGCTCATTGGAATTGCTGCGTTCCCAGCATAGACTCCCCGGCCCGCCCGGAGCCTTGTTGTTTAAAAGGCATCGCTGGCATCATGTGTTCAGGTAACTGGATAATTGATAGAAACTCACCTTATAGACGTGTCATTGGCTCAAGACAAGGCCCAGGCGACACAAAACAAACACGGTTCCCAGTAAGAGTGAGAGACTCTATACTAATGGTCGTTAACTACCGAGTCCTCTCATGATCCACTGACAGGAGTGACCTGCACATACCGGGTGTTAAGTGAATGTTTCCTGCGTGAGTCACAGACGAGATGGCATTCCCGGGCCCTACCTGGCGGATATAAAGCTTCCAGGGGAGGAGGCGACATTCACACTCAGAAACGTCCCTCTTCGCCTCAACCCATCCTTCACCCTCCGCCAGCATGTGCTGCAACTACTACGGGAACTCCTACGGGGGCTGTGGCTACGGCTGTGGCTCTGGCTATGGCTGTGGATACAGCTCTGGCTATGGATCCAGATATGGCTGTGGCTATGGATCTGGCTACGGCTGTGGATATGGATCCAAATATGGCTGTGGCTACGGCTCTGGCTATGGATCCAGATATGGCTGTGGATACGGATCTGGCTACGGCTGTGGCTACGGCTCTGGCTACGGCAGTGGCTGTTGCACCTTCCGACCATCCTGCTACCGACGATGCTATTCCTCTTGCTGCTAGAACGTCGCCTAGAACACCCTGTGCCTCCAACATAATATTGAAAATTAATGCTTTTCCCTGAATGATGCCCCATTCATCATCTCTACACTCCAGTGAGGATTGGACACCTCCTGTTATTACATAAAAGTCTTGTTGTTATTGAGGAAGTATGAATGCATCCATTATGCACCCCGAAGACAGAAGATTTGATTCTGATTATGTTCAAAATGTCAATTTTTGGTTTTTCTATTCTCTAGTGTCTATTCAATGTATTATCCACGGGAATAAGTACACTGTAGTTTGAAAAAATTACAGTTTTCAATAAACGAATGGCATTTGTTCCTGCAAGTATTTGTGTCTCTGTTGCTGGAGTCATCGCAGAGATTAGCATTTGCGTCCCGTCCGCCATGTTAGGCAGCCACTGTTCAGCTCCTCCTTGGGTCTGTTTACTCCTCCATCTACCAATGTGCCCCTTCTCTCACCCATGCCGCCTGGTGGTTTACTTCGGGGTTGCAATAGATCTTGATATTAAGTAATGTGACTATGCTGATACTCCTTTTCCAAGTTATTTTGGCTATTTTAGTTGTTTTTGGTATCCATATAAACATTAAAATTAGCTTGTCAATATCCATAAATATATTGTGCTGAGAATTCATTTGGGACTGAGTTGAATATAGATCAATTTGGGTAGGATAGACATCTTAACAATATTGAGTTTTCCAATCCATGAACATGGTATATCTCCTCATATATGCATGTCTTCTTTGATTTCTGTGATGTGCTTTAATGCAATGTTGAGTAAGAATGATTATTTTTGTATTCAAAGAGGGCATATTCTAGTGGGGAAGTAAGACAAAAGTTTAAGTAGCTATCCAACATATAAATAAGTAAATAAAGTAAATAACAATTACACTTTTATAATAACCAATAAACAGTTGCTTGCTATGAAAAATCAAGTAGCCTACCGAAGCTGCAAGAAGAAATATAAAATCTTAATGGGACTATATCTATTAAGGAAATTGAGTCAATAATAATATTCCAAAACAGAAAGCATCAAACCAGAATGAATTCAATGGTAAATTCTACAAAAAACTTAAGAAATAAGTTATACCAATGTCCCACAAATACCTCCAGGAGATAGAATAAAGGAATACTTACTAACTCATTTTATGAGGTCATCATTACCTTAATACCAACAACAGGTAAAGACACTGCAAAAAACAAAACCACCACAGACCAATATCTTGAATAAATGTAGATGTAGAAACTCTCAACAAAATATTATGAATTTGAATCCCACAATAGATAAAATGAATTATACGTCATAACCAAGTGGGATTTGTGCCAATTATGCAAGATTTGTTCAACCCTCATCAATTGCTTAATGTAGCCCATCATATCAATAGCCTAAAGAAGAAAAATTACACAATCATTTCAATAGAGGCAGAAAAAGGATTTGACAAAATCCAAAACCCATTCATGATGAAAACTTTCAGTAACTGGGAATAGAGAGAATCTCCCTCAATTTGATAAAGAATTTCTACAAAAACCCTGATGCTAACAGCATATTTAGTGGTGAGAAGCCAGAGACATCTCTGCTAAGATAGGAAAAGGCAAAGATGCCCTCCTTATCTATTGCTTTTTCAACATCATTCTGGAAGTCTTTGAGATGCAATATGACAAAAACAGATTAACTGATAGGAAAAAAAAAAAGAAATAAAACTGTCTTTTTCCACATGGCAGGATTGTTTATTTAGAAAATCCAAATAAATCTACAAAACCCTTCTGGGACTAATAAGAGATTATATAGCAAGGTTGCAGTATATAAGGTTACTACATAAAAGTCATTGTTTTTCTACATATCAACACAGAGTGCATGGAATTTGAAGTTTAAAGCATAATACCACTTACAATAGCAGTCCCCAAAATGTAATACTTTGATATAGGTCTAAACATATGTACAAGATCTACACGAGGAATACTGCAGAACTCTGTGAAAGAAATGAAGGAAGAACTAAAAAATGAACAAAATATATTATTTCACGTTCATGGGTAGCAAGACTCAATATTGTCAAGATGTCAGTGCTTCTTCCTTATTTTACCTATAGATTAAAAGCAATCCCAATAGAAACCCCAGCAAATTATTTTTTGAATATTGACAAAAAGATTATAAATGTTATATGGAGAGGCAAAGAGCCAGAAAACAGCCAACAATGCAGAACAAAGTTGGAGGACTGACACTACCCGAGTTCAAGTCTCACTTTAAACTGCAGTCAGCAAGACAGAGTGGTATTGGCGAAAACATTAAAAACATAATTGATCAGTGAAGCTGAATAGAGAGACCCCATATAATTCACACGAAGAGAGTCAACTGCTCTTTGAAAAAGAAGCAAAGAACAAGTGGGGCTGGAACAACTGGACATCTACCCACAAAGACATTGACTTTGGACACAGACCGTGCACCCTGCACACCATCAACCCACTATGGGTCGCAGACCTAAAGGTAAAAGGCAAAACCACAACCCTCCTGGAAGACAGCGCAGGAGAAAACCTAGATGATTGAGTTTGGCGATGACTTGTTGATACAAAACCAGGGACATGGCCCATGAAAGAGAGGAGGGGCCAGCTGGGCCTCATTAACGTCAAGAACACCTGCTCTGTGACCCACCACGTCCAGAGAACGAGAAGACGAGTCACCAACTGGGAGAAAATATTTGCCGAAGACATTCCTGAAGAAGAAGGACAGAATGTGCAGAGAGCTCTCAAAACTCAACACTAAGAGAACCCGCCACCAACTCAAACATGGCCGGAGAGCTCAGCACCGCCCTGAAGAAGGTGTCACCGTCGGGAGAGGGGCCACGCGCCCATGAAGTGGTCCAGGTGGACCCTCTGGTGCAGGCGTTACTGACGGGAGGGCTGTGCTGTGGGGGCAGTGGGGGGTGGAGGGGGCGGGCACCTCTGTGCTTTCTGCTCAGTTTGGTTGTGACTGTAAAGCTGCTCTGAAAAGTGAAGTTTGGTTTAAAAAGCCATCGGGCGCCGTCTCAGACGGGAAGATCAGACTCAGCATCTGAGGCGGGGAGGACGCCCGACTGTGACCCGTGTCGGTGTGAGGACTGGGGAGGCTGCCGCCCGGCTCTCGGGGTTCGGGTGCCGGAGGTCCGAGGGGCGCGACAGCCGGAGGGGAGGCTGTGAGGAAGGACGCTCCGCTCCTCTCTGCCGGGTCTCCGCGGCCACTGCTCAGGCCTCCCCCCACGGCTGTGCCCTGCACGGCTGCCCACGGCCTTGGGCGGCAGGGCACGTCTCCCCGTGGCCGCAGGCGTGTCTGTGGTTCGGTGCCTGTCATTTCAATGCTCGTTCCTGATTCCAGGGCCTCTCAAGGAGCCACGAAGCCAGCTGGCGACATCGGCTTGATTCTGTGTGTCTACAAAAGTGTCCGTTCGACGTGCCTCCGGCCAGGGCAGCGAGGACAGGCACACGCACAGGCGGTCATTCGCCGAGGGAGTGGGTGGCTTTTGAAAAGTTAGCGTGAAGAATGTTAATTAAGACACACACACACACACACACACACGCACATATACACACACACACATATACACACCCCCCCCACACACAACCGCAGCAACATGGATGTAAACATTAGACTTAAAGATTGAGTGTGATCAATACAAGTGCATACAGATATCTGAGAAGCTGTTCCTTTGGGAATGTGGATGCTTGGATGGAAACACGGGAAATAAACCGGAGAGTAAGATCAGTATGCGCCCCCCCCGCCCCCCCCCCCGTCTTTCCCTTGACGGACTTTTAAATACACGCAGTTGTTTCCATGTGGCAGGTGCAGACACGGAGGTTATGAATTGAGGACGATCCCATGGCCTGGTGGTTAGGAAGTAGCTCAGGCAGCACTCACTGCTCCTCGCCGCCTGCTCCACACACGGCTGCCCGCTGCGTGTTCAGCCACGGACCCCACAGCCAACTTCCCCGCTACCGCAGAGCCCCCCTTCGAAGCTTTCCTTCCTCGAGTATTTTTCCCCATCCTTAGGGCATTTAGAGTTTCCTCATATCTTTTTTAAAAATATATTTTTATTGATGTCAGAGAGGAAAGGAGAGGGAGAGATATAGAAGCATCAATGATGAGAGAGAATCATCGATCGGCTGCCTCCTGCACGCCCCACACTGGGGATCGAGCCCACAACCCGGGCCTGTGCCCTGACCGGGAATCGAACCCTGACCTCCTGGTTCATAGGTCGATGCTCAGCCCCTGAGCCCGCCGGCCGGGCAGTTTCCTTACATCTTACCGTTACTCTTGTATCATGACTTAATAATTTCTATGTTAAACTGTCCCTACGTCACCACTGTGGTTCCTGCGTCCGGACTGAACCCAGGCAGATGCAGGGATCCTCGAACCCGGCCTTTTCTTCCCTCTACATTGAGATTCTGGGCAAAGATGGTCCTTCTTATCTAAATGATCAATAATGCCGTTTACATAATTTACCCATCGGGAGTTTAGCGCCCATTTCTCCCCAAAGGAGGAAATGTCATAATTCGGCGAGAAAAGTAGGGGCTGGACACCTTTTCCTTCGGAGAAAAAGAGGCCATTTCTGGGAATGTACACAAACATGTTGAAAGACTAACTCCTGGTCTCAAGTCTGTGAAAAGTGCTTTAGGAGAGATTAGGGTGAAAACCTCCCCGAAATACCAGGAAAGGAGAAAAACAACAAGGTGACGTGACGATGGAGACGATGATGACGACCGTAAAGAGGGTGTTAACAGCAGAACTTCGAGTTTAATGGGCAATTCTCAGACGTTGAGAGAGCAAAGTAGTAAACATAGTCACAGGCCCATGTATCCGTGAGGTGCTGTGTCATGGCCTCTTCGCGCAATTACGGGAGGTAAACGATGGGTGCGCACGCGTGTGCTTAGCAATGTCTTGACTTTGCTTGAGGCTGAGGCACGTCCAGGGGAGCAGCAATAAACGCTGGCTTCCCAGCAAGGCCGTCGGACACGGATGAGCTCACGTTGGGCAAACACTTGTAAAAGGAGGGAGGAGAGCACGTGAGGGAGCAGCCGCCCGCCGGGAGGGACATGCAGGTCCTGGGAGAGTGGGGCACGCAGACTTCAGCGCCCCCCCCCCCCCCGTGCACCTCCCCTGAATCCCCCCCCCCCCCCCCCCCCCCGCACACCCTG